AGGCATTTGCTAAAATCAAAAAAACGTTTATATTATTCCCCATGTATGTATACTCAGCATCACATCTTGGCAGAAAAAAAACAAAAATGTGAACATTTTTGCAAACTTATTAAAAAAGAAAAACTGAAATATCACATGGTCACAAGTATTTTGACCATGCCACATACATTTTACACCAGGGGTCAGAAACAACCCAAGTAATTCACATATACAAATAAATTAAAGCAAATTAGTCCACAAGTGAAGTGTTGGGTATACTAAGATATCCTTCAATTTGTGACACTCTTTCCATTTCAAGAGGAAATCAGAGCAGAAATATGGCTGACCACATCCTTTAGGGTATGTAGATCTGACCAATAGGACGCACACTCATCTCTGGGACGGTTTAACACACACTTTCAGACATTAACAAACACAAGTATGCCCACAGATATGCACACAAAGACACACACACACTTAATGGGGACCAGTTGGCTGGGGTAAAACAAAGCTTTTTGGATGGCTTTGTTCTCAGCTGATCACATCTTTTCGAGGCGGCTTAGAGGTCTGAGTTGAAGTATTAGAGACGTTTTTAGTAGAAAGAACATTTAAAGACACAGCAGAACACTTTTCAAATGTTGCATTTATTTTTCTTTGGCACTTTTAATGTGCTAGCCAAAAAAAAATTAGAATAGCCTCATACTTTGAAATGTTGTCACAATCATAACATTGTTTATTTAATTGTAAAGTGAGTTCCCATTTTCTTCCATGATGCCTATGCTCCTTAGTGTGAATTATTGCAAACTAAAATGAGCATGCTCCTGTAAATTCCCAGTAATGCCAGAGATCTGATAGTTTCCCTCCTAGTGAACCTGTCTGGATGTGTCTGTTCTGCCTTTGTAAAAACAAGCCGTCTCGCCTCCGATGGTAGTGAGATTAGGTTTTCTGTGGCTTCTAGTTAGCCGCAGGGCTAACTAGAAGTCCTGTGGTGTTTTTCAAGACTGGATTGCAGGTCTATAGCCAGTGGAAGCTCCCAGCTACAGTGATGTCAAATTTTAACCTGCGATAATATATAACTTCCTTTGCCGGCGTTCCGAGACAGAAAATCAAACTCACGTCTGTGTGTGAAAGTGTGACTTATATTTTCATGGCTCAGCTCAGCTGCAGTGGAAATTTTCACACATCTGCCTTTGCCTTTGAAATCAAAGACGTTGCTTCCTTTCATCTGTCTCAGATTGTTAGGCTGTCTCCAGAGGCAGTCGTTCCTAACCATATGTCCAGGTGTCTTCTTATCTGCCTGTTTTCTTCTGGTGTGAGACTACACACTTCTACATTTCTTCAGTCTATTTAATGTAGCTCTTTGTTTTCAGGTTTGTTGGTGTGGCAATGCTGATATATGCATGGGACACCCTCTTCGAGAGAGAAAACTCAAAAATATACACTCATATAGTAGCTTATCTCAAAATCAATGAAAAAAAATACATATATACAGTAATATTTTTTGTTTTGGGGCGAAAGTGGCTCAGGAGGTAGGGACTGTGGCTACAATGTAGCTTAACACCATCAGGGTGTGAATGTGGGAATGTATAGGATAATTAACTACAGACTTGATAAAGCACTATAAAATACAGGCCACCATTGTTTTGACAACACTATGCTAACTCAATTATAGGAAGAACTACTAACTTGATAGTCGATGACACTCAAGAAAGACGGTAAGCTACAAATGATCATTAATAAAGAAAAATCTGGTTGTTTATGAATATTAATTGAAAGTTGGGTGGAAGGAAAAAGTGTGGCAGAAAAGGAACACTAGTAAAAGGGGAACTTGGGAGCCCTTTCTGTGATTTTGAAGCAAGAGCCCATCTGAGATATTCACAAATCAAACTTGTATTCACCACACCGAAATGTGTGTAGCACATCTGACTGCAACTTCTTCATTCACTGTGCTAAACACACTTGTGAACTGGGATAATGAGGAAAAAAAAGATATGTTTTGCTTTTTTTGTTTTTTTAGATTAAATAAAATGTTGCATCTGGAAATTCAGAGACGATTTGAGTCATGTTCAATGCTGCTGTTAGTCCACTGCGTGTTGTGGCACTTTCTGCTTATGGTGTCTAAACTAATAACTACAGTTTCAACGTGTTTGATTGGACAGCAAAATGGGCTCAGAGAATCTACGGAGTTCTGTGAAGTCCAAGGGGACATGCCAAATCTAACAATACATATGAGCTGAAAATTCCTATTAAATCAACCTGGGTTTCCTCAATACCTCAACAGCCTCCTTCATATGAACTATATCACTCTGGAAAAAATAAAGAAATACATATTTTTGTCCAATGAGTTGTTCTTCTTGAATCAAAGCAGATCGCTGATTTGGTGTCCTGCATACTTTCAGACTCCAGTGGGAGGAGCCAAACGGCGCTGTTAGGTTTTAAATCCACACGTGGTCTCCGTCTCAGGGCTTGTTTAGCAGCAACGACGCACTGCTGAAAACTTCGGACGAAACTCATGCCAGCGCACTGCACACGCCCGCTGCAGCAGGGGTAAACTGGACCACACAGAGGCGAGAATGCCATCTCACCCTCTCAACCAGTTTTCCGAACTGGAAGACATAATGAGCAAGGTAAACGAAACAGGGGGCGGAAACGCGCAAAAGAAAAGTTGAGCGGAGGACAAGTTGGTTAGCTAAAACTCCGGAGGGTGCTAACATTATTAGCTTTTTAGCTGCTCCACGAACTCTACAAATAGTTTACTTAGTTGTGTCTTTGCGTTTTCTTGCCTTGCGTTACAGAAAGGTTGTTTTCAGGGTCGAGGGCCGGTTTTAGTCCTGTTGTTGACTGTTTTGTCTGCTAACTAGAAGCTAAATAGTCTGAGCGTTGTGGCGCCTGTTCAGCAGCCTCTTCATAACAGCGGCCTATCATCAAACTGAGCGACATTCTTACAACTTTTCATGCTTAATATAGCGCTCAAGCTATTCCCCGCCTTTTCAGACTGAATCTGAAGTAAAGTGGCCGCCGACTTAAAGAAGTAACTGCCAAAAAAAAAAAAAAAAAAAAAGTTTATTCAAAACGGCAAAGTCAAACTGAGTTGTAACTTAGGATTTTTTCTCTTCGTATTGGGCTGCAGTCACTGAGCGCCTGTTCATATTTCTGCTTTGCTTATACTGTAGCTCGTTTTAGCTTCATACCCAAGTTTCTGTGTTTCTTTAAGCTTATGTCCAGAACAGCAGCAAATACCTATGGTGATAAAAACTACTCTGAAAATGTTTGTTTTTCCTTTGACTTTACAAACCATCCATTACATTCGACTTTGGCTTGTGTTTATAACGTTTGTTGTTTATTAAGAAAACAACTTGGTTTTCCTGTGCACATTTCTTTTAGCTGAGGTGACTGTGATCAGCTTTTATAAAATTTTATTCTGATTTAAATGGCATAGTTTAAAAAAAATTATTTGTTGTCCTTTAACCACCCAGTCGCTGGTCAGGATGGAGCATCCACAAATCACCCAGATCCAGATATAAGCTAATTTATTGGTGCATCTCTGCCAAATGCACAATGTAAAACAAGAATATTTCTTTCTTTCTCAATTTCTGACCCCCTTTCGTACTGAAGTGGGGCAGTTATTAGTGTTTCCTTTATAGCAACTGGCACTAATAATCTGGTGAAGTTTTGGCTTCAACTCTGACTTGAGCTAGAGGAAAGAACTGGAGCTGGAGGTAGGCTCATGGAGTAAAGCAACCAAAGTGTTTTGATCACCATGTTTGAAATTCTATCTAAGCACAGCCTCAATTAAGACAAAATGCGGTAAAAACACTAAACCTAACAAGGGGGAAAATTTGGATCATCTCAGGCGCAGCATCAGCCCTCTGATCCTGCAGGAGATCAATTTCATTTTTAAGCTGCATCGAGCGGCACTTGGAGTGATTTTTCTCCAGGAAGGCCATTTGTAACTCCGTTCTTCCACATCGTTTGTCTTTTAATATCCTCAGATGTTAATAAATTTAGCTTCAGATACTGTTAAACTTTAAATGTAGTGATCACAACTGGTCACCTTTGGGTTCAGGACACCATTAACAGGTTAAGATACTCGATAAGAAGGACGAATGTGGATGCGTAACCATCCTCTCTCTCTCTGCACAGCATAACACAGACAAAGCACAGATGTAGTGTCATGCATACAGAGTGACTGCTTTGTTGAAGGAAACCTTATTGGAGATCTGGAAGTGGAGCCTTTTCAGCTGACACCCATGTATTGTTTACAGATGTTCTCCACCTCCTCTGAAGGAGAGAAATCCATAGACGGGTAGGAAGAGAGCTCCTTGCTCCGAGGCCTGTTGGCTGTAGGTTATTGATCACAAGGTTTCAGGGGATTTAACACTAGTTGTTAATTCAGCTGCACAGGGATGGGTGCCTTGCTGCCAGAAGCTGTCGGACTGTTGGCTGTGGTGCATTTCCTACATCTACACAGCTACAGCAGCACTTCTCTGCTCACTTCCTCACTTTCTTTACCAAGTCAACCAAGACAGGCTATTGGTTAATACTTAAAAAGTGCTTTATAACACTTTTTTGGTGTTATTTTTCTAGATGCTATACTGACTTGCCTCCAACTGCCATGGAGTAGTAGCTAAATAACTTTAAATAAAAAAAATCCAAAAGGTTTGCAAATATTTACTTTATAGAAATATTAATTAAAGCAACGTAAAACTCTTCTAATTCACAGCGCTGAACTGGTTTCTGAATAAAAGTGTTTACCCTCTAAATGTCAAATCAGTACAGCAACATGTTCACCAAGTTTTTATATTGAACTAAAGGTGCATATTGAGAAATCTCTGGTTTTAGTATTTCATTTTTAAAAAAATCACTCGATTTTACAGTTCAAATATTCACCCATATTCATTTTAGCCCATTTTTGGCTTGCAGTTAATAATAAAAAGTCAAAATTTGGCAAAATGTTTGGCAAAATTAGAAAATGCATTGCCTTGGCTGTTGAGTGCTAGATGCAATGAAAAGCTGAGTGTTAGCAAAAGGCTGGATGCCTGTATGTAACCAACAAAATATAACATTTTGTCTATGACTTAATAAGCTAATGCACACATCGGTCAACCATTCAATACTCTTCATTTTGGTTAGCAGATGTAGCCAGCTGGTCAGGTCAAATGCATATTAAGAAAATACAGTAACATTTCTGCTGTTGATGTACAATGTAGAAAGAAAAACCTTCAGATTTGTATGTTTTTCACCTGCTGATTCTTGTTAAAATCAGGAAATGTACCAACTCTGATCTGTGGCTGAATGAATTGTGCACATCAAGGATGCTTTGCTGTTGAAACACAACAACAGGTCGAAACCCTACGTAATGATTTCGAAAGGCACTGAGTGCAGCTGTAAATGTAAGGAACTGATTTTTAAGTTTAGGTCTGCTTCTTCTGTGTGAAATCATTTTGGGTGAAGGTAAACAAAAACAAAATTGTAAGGATTTGTAGCCCAGATCATTCAGACTGCCTCAAATCAGAAAACTTGATCTTAAACGGCGTCAAAGTAGGGGTAATGTTGTGGTTAAACATTTTAACACGTTTTCTTCCTCTTTTTTTTTTTTTTTTTTTTACAGCATTTTCTCAGTCTTGACCTTGGAGAGCAGAACAGACTGCCCCCCTCTGTGAACCTGGCCATGACTTCTCCGGGTTACGCCAGCGATCTGTGCAGAAGTTCCTCGTTCTCTCTGTCCAGCCTCCCCGCTGACTCGTCAGACGGCCTGTTTCTGGCCTCCAGCCAATGGGGGCAGCCGTCGGAAAGCCCGTCGCCCTCCCAGCTTGCTGCTAACTCCAACCAGTGGGGAAAGTTTGGTTTTCTCTCCCAACGCTCTGTCAGCCTGGTGGAGACGAGGAGCATGCCGGCGGCAAGCCTAGACTGGCCCAGCACTGAACTGAAGACGTCCCAAAGCGACATGAGCCCCACCGCCTTGCAAGCCGCCGCCGCCTCTTCGTCATCCAGCTCCTCCTCGCGCTACAAAACCGAACTTTGCAGATCTTTCACAGAGAACGGCCTGTGCAAGTACGGCGGGAAGTGCCAGTTCGCCCACGGCCCGGAAGAGCTACGCGATCTAAACAGACATCCAAAGTACAAGACGGAGCCTTGTCGCACCTTCCACACCATCGGCTTCTGCCCTTACGGGATCCGCTGTCACTTTATCCACAACAGCGAGGAGGAGAAGAAACCCACCTTTTCCCGCTCGTCCTCGTCGTTCTCCTCCACCCTTAGCGTTTCTCACCAGCCAGCAGGCTCCTCCTCTTCCTTGTCCTTGCGCTCTCACCGGCCGCCTCTGGTCAGGCAGAGTTTTAGCTTCGCCGGCTTTCCTTCCGCTCCTCAGCATGTCCTCCAGTCGGTCCTGACCGGCCACACGCCTCCCCCTGCCGCCGCCACCACCGCCTCGTTTACATGCGGCTCATCGGGCTCCCCTGCTTCCTGTGCCGACATCACCGACCTCCTCTCCAGCGCCTTCCTGGAGATGGACTCTGCCTTCGAAGTGTCCGGTGTCCAGCAGTGCCAGCCCTCGGCGGGCCATGTTGCCCAAACCGACCTGCGCTCCACCTTCCTGCCTTCCCCCGACTCAGGCTACTCCCCCAGTGGACTGTCGCCCACCAGCTCACCCTCCCTCCGACAGAGCCCCAGCAGCACCGACCATCACCTGGGGTCGCTTGGCGCCCGCTCTCTGTCTTATACCTCCCTGTCAGATCAGGATCAGGACGGCGGCAGCTCCACCAGCTCCCTCAGCAGCTCTGAGTCATGCGGGGGGAGCAACGACAGCAACGGGAAGCGCTTGGCGGTGTTCAGCCAGCTCTCTGTCCCATAGGATTGCTGCTGGCTTCTGGCTAATAGCAGCAGAGGTCTTTGAAATGAAATGTTCTCACCTTTAACCTCAGTATATTTTCGCCTGACTGACACATAAGACGTTCTTTACAAACTGTGGCATTAAAGGAGATGAGGACTTGATGGCAGACTCAAAACACTTTATAGAGATTTCCCTGTGTAGATTTATGTGGCTAAATTATTACCCCAACATGCACAAGCCACACTGATGCGTAAACTAAAGCATACATATCACCGCAGTAGTTTTACATCAACAAATGGGCTTTTATTCTTTACCTAAATAGTTTATATGTGCCATGAAGACAAACAGCCAAACAAAAAAACCAAATCAGTGTGATACGATTGATTTGCTCAACCGCACAATCATTCACTTGTCTAAATGTTTCATGAATGGTTTGCAGTATGTGACAAAGCCAAAGAGGACATGTTTTTGCAGCTCAGACTTCCTAATTACGGTCGAACAAACGGTGGCCAATGTTCAGGAGTTTGCTCCAATAACTGTACACAGTATTGTTTATAAGCTTGTGAAATAGTTTTGTGTGTTTTTTTTTTCTTTGTAAATGTGCAGTCTGAGGTTATGTTTAGATTATTGGCCTTAAACCTATAAGTCAGAGGGTTGTCTGTTTTCTTTGTTGTTTTTTTTTTTCTTTTAAACGATGTGCCTGTAATGTTTTTATCGGGTCCTGTTACGTTGTTGAGCCAAGATTCTGATTTGTTTGGAGAGATGGAAATGGAGTCTCATCCTTTTTTTTCTTGGAAGCATTAATTCAAACTGTCTTGGTATGTGTTGCCAGCTTGTGGGCGCTAGTTGCATGCCTAACCAGCAAGTCTAAGCTACAGTTTGAAGCATAAACGAGATGCCTGCGATTGGCATTTGGCTTTAACATATTTAAATCGAATCCTTCTTAACGGCTCTCTTCAAACACCCCCATTTTAGGTGCTAATGGTGTTTTTTTTTTTTTTTTTTTTTTTTTGAATTGATCTTTGACACAGACATTGCTATTAGTGAGTCTTTGTTTTTATTTTTATTTTTTTCTTTCTTGCTCTCGTCCACGGGTGCACCGTTACACCTTCATCAAATGTTTTAGTGATTCTCGTCTTGTTGCATCTCTCCATCATCCAGTGTTAATCCTTGCTGTTACGGCTTCATACTGTTCTCCTGATAAGATCCACTTGAAATGTGTCCGTTGCCTTACTGAATTAGATCCGGCATACTGTAGAGGTTTAGAGTACGTATGCTTAGTGTTCTAGAAACATTACTCGGCTGTATTTTTTATTTTTTTTTTTGTTTTTTTTTTTTGTGTGCGTGTGTGTGTTTACAGTAGTTGGTTAGACGAACAGGCGTCGTGACGTTCCTGGTCTATTTAAGAATCGCCTTTTTCGTCGACAAGTTTGAGACCTGTTTAGAGATAAAGGTGAACATCTTTAGTAAATTAATTTCTTTAATTTATTTTAACGTATTTATAGAGGACTTCTCAGTTAATGCTTGTATCGAGTTTAATATATTTGGGTTTCTTCTGCCTTTTTCTACTGAAAATAAAGTTTTTCTTTTTTTAAAAAAATAGCTTGTTTCTGTTTCTCACTTAACAGATATGCTAATGAGGCAGAACGTATTATTTCCGTTTGCTCCATCTTTTTGCGTAATCTGCATATGTTTTGACTTTGTTGCAGAACTGCATGCATCTGCAGCCATTCACACGTTTTTAGGTGCAGCAGGAAGGAAGGAAGGAAGGAAGCAGGAAATGACTTAACTGTCATATTTGGTTTTCAGTATTGACTGCATTTCTCCAGTGACCGTGAATGGTTTAGGTTCAAATATAAAGATTAAGAGCAGAATGAAAATTTGTTTTGTCTTAAATTTTAGATCTATAATTTACTTTTTTTTTTTTTTTCTTTGCACTTACCACTATTGGTCACGCTATAAAGTTGTCTGTGAGCATCAAGCACAAAATGTTTATTCATTGAACATTTCATTCTTAAATTAGAAGATTTTTCTTTTTAAATACATTTTTGCTTAAATGTGAGACCATGTTTTTACTTTTTTATACTATATCTCACTTTTAAAGGTGAGACATACAGCATGTAGTTAGTCAATATGTGGAAATCTTTTTTTGGTCCAGTTAAATCTCTTAGGTCTTTGTCTGTGGTAGCTTCACAAAATTAGAAACTCAGTTTTTTTTGTCAGGGATTTCTGCATCTTCCCCAACATTAAATCTTTTGATGCAGGTTTTCTTTGAGGCTAACGGTGTAACGTCCCTGCCTCTGCTAAAGAAAAGCATTCCCACAGCATGCTGTTGCCAACACCATGTTTCATATTGGGGATGTTTGTTTAACACCTTATCATATGTTGTATATCAATCAAAAAAAATATGTTCTTGTCATTTTTAGCTGAGCACCTTCTCCCACAGGCTTTCTGTGTTCCTTGCATGCAAAGGCAAACGCGTTATCTTGCTGGTTTTTGTCAGCATTGACTTTCTTTATTCTATCTGTACAATTCGAAGTCAAACGGAGCCAAAAAGATAAAATGTGAAAGTGAAACAAGGGTTTATTGTGAGATTCACCTCAGGTAACTCAAAAACTACAACTTGAAATGTTCAAATTGGTGGAAAAAAATAAACCAATGAATGAAAGAAGAATAGATTGGTAAACTGCTATTTGGAATGAGAAAGGGAATATTGCACACTGTTCTCGATAGTGGTATTGCACTTGTTTTGTTGCACTGCATGAGTATAAACGTGTTGTAATAAAGCAGTAAGAGTGAAAAAGCATTTTACAGTAAGTAACCAAATTAAGAAGAAGGTGACGGTAAGTTTGAGTCATTTAAACCCATGTGTTCAAACAGTTCAAATATGAAACGCATATGAAGAGTGTACAGAAATTTAACAGTGTGGTTTTGTGATGGGGGAACAAGATCCTGTTAAACCTGGTTGTTCTGCACTGCTGTGACGTTTTCCAGAGGATAGAAGTCAAAACAAACCATGTACAGTGCGAGTGAAATCTTTTATGGTCCTCCTGGTAGATCTGCTCTGGCAATAGGGGGTTCTTGAGGAGATGGGAGATAAGTCCCGATGATTTCCTATGCTGACCTCACGACTCTTGGTAGTATGTAGTGGACCTGCCACTGAACTAAGATGCTGCAGTTCAGTGTAGAAAGTTCAGCAGATGGACGGGTTTCTCTTTTCAGCCTTCTGAGGTGTCATACAATTAAATTATAAAAAGAGGTTTTCTATGTCTGCCTTGATGATTGTGTGAATTTTTACTATGTCAAAAATTCTAGAAAATGTATTTTGCAAAACAGTTAAATAATGGATATGATGGGTAGCTTCCTATTTAATATTACACTATTAGATAGATAAATCTACAGCGGAGCTGTTAACCATAACGCTAATGATTTTAATAATTTAGAAAATGTATGTGAAATAAAATGAAAATTATTTTTTCCAACTTATATGTTTTTTCTATCAACACACCAAGAAAACCAGAAAATGAGACCGCCCATACCGAATAACTTCCAGTTTAGAGAGAAGAACTGGATGTACAGTTTAGATTTACATAGATCAAGAGAAACAGATGAAACTTCACGTAGTTCCCAAGTAAGCATTAGTTTAGTAATTATAGCTGGGGAAAATTTTACAACTAAAACAAATTGCTATCATCAGCAAGAAGAACGGGAAACAAATGCACTGGATTAGACAAATCCTTTTTTTATTCAAGAAACAAGTGTTCCCAAAATGGATCTTTGTGTGATCCCAGGACTTATAAGAAATTGTTGATCAGGATAATTATAAAGCCACAGAGGAATATTTTTCCTTTAGAAGTGTAAGGTGAGAGATTCAGCAAAACTTTGTGATTTACTGTATTAAATGCCTTTTTCTTCCCCACAATGAACTGAAGCTCAATTTGGAGATTGTTTGATTAATGGCTGTCATATCAAGAATCTTTTCCAACTAAGCTGAGGATTTTTCTAGACTCTCCAGGGGCCTCAAGGCTGTTCTTTGATTAATGCATTCTTTATCCAGCCAATTAGTTTGCGTGCTTAGTTGTGCCATACTTTCATTTTCCAATGACTGCACTGCGCGTTAAGCCCGGGGATACGGTTTTACAACCTGCTTTTAACTTCTCCACAGCTTTCCCAACCTCTCTGCTGTATTCCTTGATCTTCATGATGTCGTTTGTTCATTAATGTTCTCCTGAGGTCTTCACAGAACAGCTGCTTATACTGAAGACTAATTACACACAGGTGGAATATATATCAATTAATTTACTTCTGAGTGCAATAGTTTTAAATAGGAGGATCGGATTAAAGAGCAGACACAGAGGATGAAGTAGATGTGAAACACATGAAAACCTTTCAGATTTTCACTTGTAAACATTTTGGAAACCCATGTAACACATCTGTTCCTACACACAATTATGCATTTGTCTCTGATGGTTTCTAACATAGCATAACCCAATATATAACATCTTGTGATTTTGTCATAACAGAATACAGAGAAGCTCAAGAATGTTTATTCTGGTGTTATTGCCACTTACACCGCTTTCCACTTTCTTCCTGCTCAGCTGTGTGAGGTGTGACCTAGTTTAGTCTTCTCTAGTCGAATGACTAAAACATGATTGTGGATTTTTTTAGTTTTCAGTTTTCAAATATTTTTTTGGTTAGAAAAATATAGAGGCTATCTCTATGTATGAATAAAGATAGCATCTCCCATGTTTGGCACAAAATGTATACAGGTGCCTATCATTCAGATAAAGTAAGAGAATGGTCTTCTTAAAGATCCTCATTACTGACTCACAAGAAGTCTTTATTTTTTTTTCCTCATACATGCACTCACTCAAGCTCTATTATCTAGTCTCTACAGCAGCAGATGGGTTGGCCTTCCTGGGAGTGATTGGTTAGCTGTGCAGGGTTTAGAGGCATGTGTGTGCTTGTATGGGTATGTGGCATTGTTTCCTAGAGACATTATCCCACACTCCTGCGCTGCGGGACAGAGGAAAGGCAGGCAGATGGCTGCATTCAGGTCCACCACAGGTCAACATATGGGCCATGGAGACAAAGTTTGTGTTTGTGTGTCTGTGAGCCTGAGCATCCCGCCATGCATGAGTGGAAGAAGTTGAATGAAATAAGAAAGGGGGAGGAAGATGAAAACTGGTGAGAAAAGAGTTGTGGGAGAGTTTGAGAGGAAGAAACTTTGTGTCTTCCCATGAGATAATGCAAATTAAGCCCAGCAATATGGGTGCATGAGGACTTGTTACTATTAGCTCAGAGCGAGACTCATTTTCATTTCCCGAACTCAAACAGCTGTCACATCTGGAGAGGTTTTCT